CCTGTTGATTCCTTTACACACTGTTGATGTCTTCAGCAACCTTTAGGTGTTCTTTTATATCTTTTTTTTCTTTTGGTCACAGTTGGGAAAATTATAAGGATCCTTAAGTTTTTAAATTTCTCAAACTACCTTTGTTTTTATAAACTTTGAGATCTTAAATCACTTACTCTCATACTGTATATTATCCCCTCATCTCTGTAGTTGGCAAATTACTTAGAAAACCCAAGACGTTTAAAGATTTAATTTTAACTGGGCTTTTGTCACTAGCCATTCATGGGTTGCATGTATGTCATTGCTCATGGAAGCCTAGTGGATAGAGACATCTGATGTCTGGGAATAACCAGTGGACATTTCCTCTGGTCAGTTGCCCAGGGACAATGTGAATCTCTTTCCTGTTCTGCAGTGGCTTACACAGCACCTGAGATGGGTGTGACCTACCAAGATGTCCATCAACCTGCTGACTGCAAGACATCAGGAAACCAGACTCTGCCCATGAAACCTTATCCGTGCCTTTGATGTACCCCCTTAAATAAACCACTGGAGCCAATTTCCCATTCCAGAATCCATGTGGACTAGATCTATCAGGGGCTTCGCCTTATGTAAATATATTTCTGAGTATCTGTGTTTTATTACTTATTAATTATCTGAGATTGTAAGTTTTAAGGTGGCTTGGATTCCCCTGGGAAGAACGAACCCTACAAAGAGACACTGGCCATCCTTCCTAGCAAAAGACATTGTTTTCTCAAAGTATATAGCCAGTAACTTTTAGATCTCTGTTTATACATATTTGATTTACATTTTCATGAATGAATGCTATTACTGGGATATTTCCCCAGTAGCTGATCTTCTCAATATTTTTAACATGCCTTGAAAACAGACATTTAATAATCATTTTTCTTTAATGGACTAGTTGGTTCTGTTCATGCTTTACATCTGTTTGATAGGGATTCTCTTGGGTCAGCCATCCTGTTTCTTATCTCTAAATATTTGTGTACATTCCAGACAATGGCAATCACTTTATCTAGTTACTTTTCTGATAAAACATAAATCTTAATTTCAGGAATGAGGTGTTTCTATTAAGCTCAAAAGCTTATTCCAGTACTCTTATTTGGTGTTTATTTGTTTTAAGAATAGCAACAAATCCATTAAGCAAAGCTGATAGTGATAACTATCTCTGGGGTACCAGGAAGAAAACACAGAAGCATGAAATCATTAATAATGCACTTTCCTAATTGCAGCATCTTCAGAGAGCACTGTTGAACAAGAGTTGGGGAATAAAAAAAAAAAAAACAGTTATTTTTAAAACTGGTATTTTTAAAAGTACTGTCACTTAACATTGCTTCCTGCTGGTACTTTGTTAGATGAAGCATAGAAATCATAAATAACATTACTTAAATTGTAATGGGGAGAGAGAGAGACAGAGAGAGGGAGAGAATCACAATCACAATGTGGAGGAGAAATAAGTCACTGTACAGTGAGTAAATTGAATGCATTTATGCAGAAATCTGCCAGGCAGATGACAGCATTTGCAGGAATTGGTTCATCAGATAAGCACTGACACTTGGACTCTTTGCTTTCCAGGTTTGCACTGTGAATTTGGGCCTTGTAAGGCTAGCAACCCTTGTGAGAATGGAGCTGCATTTAGCAAGAAAACAGATCTGGAAATATTTCCCCTTAGGTTCCAATGCCAATGTGAGAAAAGCTTTGCAGTTTCACCCTGTGAGATCAGTGTCAATGAATGCAGTTCCAGCACTTACCTGTACAGATACTGCTGTGACAGTGAGTTCACTCAGCCACTGTTGTAATATTTGCAGAGCAATCTAATTTAAAACATGACATAACAATAGGAAGGTCCATATATATGAACATAGCCTCTCTTGAACATCAAAGTCAATGTCAGCAGTACTAGGTACCGCTCTTCTGACTAATTTGTTTACATTCTTGTTCATTGCAATTGTAGAAAATGAAGGATGCAGCTATTATGTTCTGGTTATCAGAATTAACTATTTTTGCAATTTATTTTAAACTGTAGATTATTAAAGGTAGTTATTTATAGTCATGGGAAAGTGTTATTTTTAAATGATATTTAAAATTATTATTTTAGCTCATAGCTCATCTCTCTCTCATGCACACACACACACACATACACATGTGTGCGTGCGCACACACACACAATCACACACTTCTTCCTGATGAAATAATATAAATTCATAGAGGGAAAGAATAAGGAAGAAAAGAAAAATATGTAAGCATATAGAGAAAAAAGAGGAAAAACAAGAGACAGAATATTTAAACACTGATTTTTATGTGGGATGACCTATTTCATTTTTTGTTGAGACTCAGGAAAAACTACATAAAATGACATTGCAGGGGGATGTAACTAAGGGGTATGATAAGGAAAACAGGTGAACTAAGAGTCCACCTTCTTTTGCCTTATCTTACCTCCTTTGAATATGTTTTTACATAATCCTTTGGTCAATGTGTAAATAGTGAAAATAATGTAAAAACTCATTTCAATAGAAGGTCATTTACATAATATTTATAAACAAAACTAATATAAATCCATGACTAAATTTTCTAGTATAAATCAAGAACAAATAGAGTGAGATAATATGCTTAAAATATGTCAATAAAATTGTTATTGATTGTCATAAAGTCATGTAATTAATAAATTGTGTAGGGAAAAAATACCCTTTTATTTCTTTACTTTAAGTACTTAAACAATTATTTTTTGTGACGTCCATTTTTTCCTGTGGATCCAATTTAATAACCCAGGTTTTCTTCTGGTACATTGTTCATTTGTTATCTTTTTAGCCAAAAATGATCAACATTTTTATGTAAAATAAAAACAATTTATTTTTAACAATTTCTGTCTTTCAGATTCTTTGATAATTCAAAGTTACCTCTTTTTTGTTACTTTCCTTTAAAAATAATTTATCACTCATGTATTTAGTTATAAACAACTATGATAAAAGTTAATTTGAGTCTTTTTGTTTGTTATTTACTAATATGCATTAGTGTCCAAACCTGAATTCTAATTATAAACATATTTTAATTATCATTATGATTGATGGTATTTCACAATGTCTTACTGACATATGGCACACAGTTTTAATTTAATTTATTATTATACATAATTCCATCTATAACATACAAAGAAGCATTAATTGGCATTTTTATCACAATGATTTATTTAAAACTACACTTATTTTTTGAATCATTTGCATTAAAAATAAATGCTCCATGAAACTATAAGTAAAACAGAAGTAAATTTTGTCTAAAGGCTACTAATTCTGTGTGTCTCCCTTTTCTCTTGTTATTGGCTGGGCTGCCTTGTTCTTCTTAGAAGCCATAGTTGTACATGCTTACTGAGGCACAGCTACAGAAATCAAGATGCTAATAATGTCTATCACATTCCACCATTATTTCTAACCCCATGCCCCCTCCCTTTGCCTCAAACCTCTCTGCCCTATCTAGAGTTCATCTATTCCTCCCATGCTCCCTCTCCCTATCCCATTATTAATCAGCTTCCTTATATCAAAGGGTTATTAGACATTCAGCATTTGTTTTTTGGGGGGATTAGCTAACTTCACTTAGCATTATCTTCTCTAACTCCATCATTTACTTGCAAATGCCATGATTTTATTCTCTTTTATTGCTGAGGAATATTCCATTGTGTATATATGCCACAATTTTTTTATCGATTCATCTATTGAATGGCATCTAGGTTGGTTCCACAGTTTAGCAATTGTGAATTGTGCTGCTATAAACATTGATGTGGCTGTGTCCCTGTAGTATGCTGTTTTTAAGGACATTAAGAAGGAAACAAAATTATGTTCAGAGAATTTGTACAAACTCAGATTTACATATTTTCAAAAATATAAAGACCAAGATGCTGGTTCACACTAGCAGAGACCAGAAACATAACAAATCCCTATGTGGGATCCTGGTTTGGATCCCGAAACAGAAAAAAGGACACTAATGGAAAAACTGGGGAAATTCAAGAAGTGTTAAAGATTAGCTAATAATATTGTACCAGTATTGATTTCTCTCTTTGGATAACTCTGCTATGTTTATCAAAGATGTTAACATTAGAGGAAACCAGATAAAGAATGTACAAAATTTTCCTATTAAATAAAAGAAGAAGAAGAAGAAAGAAAGAAATCAAGATGCTGCTTAAATTCTGCACATTGCATTGAAAATTCTGTTGCCACCTAGGACCTAAGCATTCAATGAGAGTAATAGCAGGTACATGCAGAGGCAGGGTGGGAATGTAGATACATGGTGAATCCTGGAGATAATGAAGGACCCAGGGACTGTCTACAAGTAACTATAAGTCCATTCTTGCTCCAATGACAATTCATGCTGTCACCATTTCCCTGAAACGTTTCAGATACTGTTTTTTTTTTTCATTGTTAGTGATAATTTAATTATTTAAAAATAGTATACTTACATGTGAAAGCTCTTTTTTTAAACTAAGGGTTAAGTAGATAAATATTAGCTTTCAGACCACTATTTGAAACTTACTTTGCAATTCATTTTCTACCCATAGAACTTTAACAACAAGTTAACTTGTATATTAAACCTAAAACAAACTAGGAAAGTTCATTGATGCAGACATTAACTACTAATTATGTTTTGTGTGCTGCCAAAAAGACTGAGAGTGTGAGAAAAATGGATATTTTATATATATATATATATATATATATATATATATCAAACTGTTATCAAATGTCATTGTAATCTTTCTTATTTCAAATAATTAAAGTTTTTTAAGTCAATAGAACTGAACAAGGTAGCAGTGTAGGAGATACTGTAGATCAGTGTGATAGAATATTAAATATAGAAATGTGTAATAGAGTATTAAAAATAGGAATTCACACTTTATTGGTTTAAAGGTGAAATGCATAGCCGATTATAACATTTTAAGAGTAATTTACATTACTGTATCTGTACTATGATTAAAAGAGTATAAAAGAGTTTTCTCTTCTTTGTTTCAGCGCTTGGTGGCTTTTCCTGCTTATGCAACTCAAGTTATGCTGGACAAAGCTGTGAGTGGGACACTGATGACTGCATCCTGAATGTCTGTGAGCAAAATTCCACCCGCAAAGATCTGCATCTTGTTAGTATCCATTGGTCTTATTAATATATCTTAATGAAGAATAGCATAATTTAACCCCTACAAATTTAACCCCTACAAAAGTAAACTTTTGCTCTATGGTATGTCCACATTTGAATACACCTACACATATTTTTTTAAGGTTAGGAAACAGAAAATCAAACAATATTATTTTTAACTTCACTGTGTTAAAATATTTACTCTATGCCAGTTGGTATACATACTATATGAAAAATAGATTCATAGCTATCAGTGATACTGCATTTGTATAAATTTTCAGAAATTCTTCTAAAAGTGCTATAAGTCTCACAGTCATTTTTTTTTTTTTGCCTAACTTGAGGTACTAAATTCACATACATACATTCACTGTCATTCACTATCTTAACTTTTGCTGTGATTTCCATCATGTATTGAATACTCCATCATTTCCTTCATTCATCTTTACTAGTGCTGTCCCTTCTGTACATATCCATTTGTCATAGCCTTTGTCACAAGCATGTGCCATTCTGCCTTAAATGAACTGTGACACAGTTGGCAAATCAATGGGATCCCCTCAGGCTCCTCATTTCTCAGAAAGCCTGACATAAAACACATCTACTCAAGGTGGACTCACTTATTCACAGGCCTCAGAAAATAAATGACATACAACAAAAGCTAATGCTACAACACTGGTATAGGCTTATACTTTATTCTTTAGCAACAGAACCAATTTCTACAAAAAGACTACAGTAGTTGAAGTTAGAAAGCAAGTCTTTCAAAAACAAATGTTTTCATCAAAATATTTTGACTATCATCAAGGGTCTGACACTGTTTGTTTTTACAACGAGAGGATAATTTGCAGCACTTTTTTTTGTTTCCCACAAGGAAGGCAGATACATAAAAGAATAATTGTAATTAATGTTTGAATATACATTACCAGCACCAGGGATGATCCATAGGTTATTGAGCCACTATACAGGAATGTGTAATTTCCTGTAGCTTCATCTTGATTCATAACAAACGTGTTATCTAAATCAGGTTAATCTAATCCCAGACTCAGGGAATACATTAAGAATGGTCAGGAGATACTACACTGGTCTCTGAGACAAGAGAAGTTCTTTCAAAGAAAAGGTTACCTCACCTGCACATAGGATGTAAGAGGTAGGCGTGTCCTTTTCTAGAACTTGTAGCTTCTGGATTGTATACATCTAGTTGCTGTTTTCAGGCCTCAGATAGATGACTCTGAAGGCAGCAAAGACTCACAATTGAGAAACCCAGACCTATGATCCATTGTTGAATCCCTAAGTGAACTTCCCAGGTGCCATCTCAATATGTGGAACTAATTATAAGAAATCATTATGGCCTCTTGTTTAGAAAGACTAATTTTCTTTTAGTTGTGGGTAAATTATCCAATGTGGAACATTCATGTATGGTTGATTTTTTTTTAATCCTATGGCTTCAGCAGCAACTTCAAAAATAATAGTTTTGTTTTTGTTTTTGTTTTTATTTTAGTAGAAAGAACTTCATACCCCAAAACATAGCATTCCACTTCTAGGCCTGACCACAACTTTTGTGTATGACACTAAACTTGGTCATTTGACAAGTCAGGGGCTGACTTTAGAGGATGAATCATACTAAACCATAGAACATGCAAATATACTATTTTTTTTCCATTATCTACTTTCCAAATTTCCTATAAGAACTTATTCAGACTAACTTTAGCATCAGCTCAAATTCTTGATTACTATTTCTAGAAATTGTTAAAACAAGAATAACAGAGAAAGCAGCAAAGTTAAAAAAAATCAAGTTTCTTAATAAATTTCACCTAGATTATCTATGTGACTAATTAATTAAAACCTATGTTTATACACAAGGGGACTATTGCAAGTATTTAATGCATATGTATATACACACATTATATATCAGTTTCAAGGAAAGAATTGTCATTGGCTTTGTGATATCTTTTCCAAGATCAGTGTTGTGAACACAACAGTTTGTTTTTAAAAAGTTAAGTGATGTTCAAAGTATTTTGTAGCTTGTTGATATTGCATCTGGGGCCCCAAGACTACCCTCACATTTGATAATTCCCAAGAAAGACTAAGAACAGTTGTTTTACTCTTTGATAGTGTTTATTACAATGCAAATTTATAGGTTAAAAACAGAAAAGGGAAATGACACACAAGATCAAGTCTAGGAAAAACCTGGGATGTACATCCCACATGTTCAACTCTTAAAGATACGTGGACAGTGTTTAAACATCAGAAACAACTCGGAACAACGTGTATGGAGTGTTGCCAACCGGGGAAGCTCATGTATGGCTTGGTGTTCAGAGTTTCTATTGTGGGTCACTCACAAAAGCATGGAGGTCCTACATCATTGAGTTTCTCTGACTGGTTTCCCACTCCTGTAGTGATCAAGGTGACATAGCATTGACCTACAGCCCCAGACATGCAAAAAATAAATACATATATAGAGGAAAGAAAGACTTCCAGCATTAATTACATGATTAGCATGATCTAGTTTGCATAATTGAAGGTATCAAGTTTCAAAGATATCATTATCAGTCATGATATTCAATGGCTCTTATGTGCCAGTCCTTTCTTCAGAATATTCAAGGTTGGAGTACCCAAGTTTGCTCAGTTAACTTTGTTACTCAGATATTTGGGTAAATATTGAATTTTGGTATTATGACAAATGGTACACAATTAGAAAAACAACATATTCTATAATAATACACTGAAACAAAAAAAAATTATCCCCAAGACATTCTGTCAAAGAGAATGGGCTAAAATAAAACTCACACTTTTGAAATAAAGCTTGAACTAGACATTATAAATATATGAAATAGAGTAAGGTTCAACTTGAATTTACATTTTCTTGTTTTCACTAACTCATTGGTGAAAAAATAAACTATGAAATGCTGAATGTTTTGTGATGGAAGATAAAATTAGAAAGATATAGAGTAGGATTTTTCTAAAGAATTTGTAATAATCCTTAAACACAGAAAGATGACTTTATTTCATCTACAAGGCATTCATTCACATTTGGCAAGAGTCAGCAGCCTGTCTGTTGCAGGGCAGGACCCTAGACCAGCCCAGGCACTCCCAATCACAGGAAGCTTGCTGCTTCTTTAAGCTTGGTGTATGTGTAGCTTTAAATTAACCTTTTCACACATGCCACATTATCTTCTGATTATATGGGAGCACCATGATGTTGAATTTAGAATATAAAGCAGAAAATCAGGAGACTTTCAAAGCACAGTGAGAGGTTCTCCATAACAATGGGCCAGTTTTCTTCTTTTCCTTTTTTTTATGGCTCAGTGAACCTAAATAAACAATGAGACTGAGAAAAGAATGTTGAATGTTTATCAAAAATAAGATACAAATGTTAAAAACAGGTATCCTGAGACTTAGCCCCTCCTGTAACTGTCATAGGCATATTTGAAAGTAACTATTTCTTTGTGGTTGTTTAAATATGTATGATAAAATTAGTCTAGTATTTTCCTCTCATTTTATTTTCAGTTTCCTCTGTATCCTACATGAATAATGAATGATTAATTTTAATAACAGCAGGAGAAACAAAAATAGTGCAATAGAACTAATATGTGGAAAGAACAGAGTTTTTATTCATATACAACTATATGAACACTCAGACATATGATACACTACAGATTTACATTTTCTCCTGTGTAGCCAAAACAAACTGAGTGTTCTAGTAATAAATAAATAACTATTTTTTTTTTTACCTTTGCCAACTACATGGTTGGAAAATTCATGTTAGTCCTTTGAGAGTTAGCTGTTTTCTCCTGTTGAGATTATAAATGCGGGGGTTGGATCAAGTGGCTGCTATTAAAATGCCTATTGTGCCACCTCTTGTCCCTTTTAAAGATAGGTTAATCTGCTAAATGATTCTAATCCTTGCATGCCATATGTGATGCCCTGGACCTTTTCTATTCTCTCCCCGAAAGCACATAATGCTTAGCTAGTTAGGAGGCAGGTCCTAATGCTTCTACAATATGTCCAATTGCACTATCTGAAACCTCCAGATTCTGCACTGTCTTTAGGATTACAAATCTCCCATCAGCGCACAATCCACTGCTCACTGTCACATTCTTCAACCTTCATTTCTTTCATGCCCTCCCTCTCCGTAAAGATTTGCTTAATCTGATTTGATGGAAACGAACACAGAGGTTCCTACTCAGTGTCAGAGCTTGGTAATGCCTGAATTCTTAAAACTCAAAGAATTGTTTCAACAATGTCCTGATGGAGAAAAGAAAAGAAATAATTTCTACAACAACAACAAAGACAATGGTAAATTAGATTATTCACAATTTACCTGTTACATAGGAAGGTGGCAAAATTTTCCAGCCTTAAATATCTTAGATCATAAATATAACCTTTGTATTGACTGTGTTATGTCTTAATATTGCATTTAAGCCATGGGTTTTATGGAATTTTGCCTAAAATGTCAAACCTGATAGAATTAGTTTTTCTATACTCATTGTTTAACATGTTTGTGTTAAACTTCTTTTAAGAGTAACTTAAAAGGGTACAGAGAGAATTTGGAAATTGTCTGACTTTGACATGAATTTGCTCTGTTTTACTGCAATTCACTTAACTTATTTGAGCCATAATATATATATATATATATATATATAGAGAGAGAGAGAGAGTAATATTTATTCAAGTTCACTACATATAGTTTTATTTTATTGATTTAAGGACTATATAGCTTTGCATTTTACTTTCATATCATTATATATGTGTATTCACACACATATACAAGATATTGCCAATTACAGGCATTTAAGTATGGGCAGTACCAACTGTATCAGTTTCTTCAATAAAACTTAAGAATTGGAATAAATTGTTTTTAAGTAGGGCATTGTCTTTGAAAATACACATACTTAAAGAAGGCTGGGCATGAAATCCAGTAGTTAGGGTGCATGCTTAGGCTATACAAAGATGTGTAAGGCCTGGGTTGAATCGCCAGCATCCAGAGAGAGAGAGAGAGAGAGAGAGAGA